GGAGTGAGTGAGAGTGAGGGAGTGAGTCTACTTTGACTTGACTGCTAGATCAATGATTACAATAAAATTAAATACTGCGCAATGTTAATCCCCTCTCCATTTATCATGCTGTCTCGTTAGGAAGGGGTCTTGCTTTTCAGAGTGACGTATAATGCATATGGAAGGCTGTGGTCCTCTTCATGTGCAGCAAGTGAGATTGTGTCATCTGCGTTTCGCAGGTTGCTAGGAAGTCTCCCTCTCATCCTCAGGCCTTGTCCTTTCCCATGCGGTAGAGCGTCTCATATTATTTTCTCAGCATACAGTGAATACGGATGGTGCAAGGCTACAACCCTGCCACATACCATTTTTGATTCAGGCCATGCAGTATCCCCTTGCTCTATTTGAACTGCCTCGAATTACGCACATGTTTTCTTATTAGGAAGAGCAAGTGTTTTGAAATCCCTTTTTATGATCTACACAGGTGTATGCCTTCACAGAGTTTACAAAATACAGGCAAACACCTTTCTGGTACGCTTTGCTTTCTGCTGAAATGTACCTGACACCAGCAGTGACATTCCTAGTTCCATGGGTTTTTTTTCTGAATTTAGTTTGAACTTCTAGAAGTTCCCTGTAACTGTACAGTCACTTTTGAAATGTCATCAGCGGAATTCTGTTAGTATATGTCAATAATTTTCTTTTGAAGCATTTGCACATCCCGTTCAAATGACTTTCTCTGGAGTAAGCAAAAATAGAATTTCTTCCAGATAGTTGGCCAGGTGGCGGACATCTCAATTTCTTGACACAGCTGAGTAAGCACTTTTAGTGTTGCATTTGTTTGCTGGAACATCTCCAAGGTATTCTGTAAATTCTTGGATCCTTACTTCTCACCAATGCCTCAGGTACAACCTGAATATCCCCCCTCAGCATCACAGCTGCTTCATCATATCTACTGCCTGAAATGGATGGGCAATCATATGAGAATCCAGTTAACAAGAAAAACATGGCTTTGGAACTGCAGGAAGATTCATTAAAAACCTCTGCTATGTACCTATATGATACAACTTTGTCTGCTGAAAATGAAGACAATTTGCAGCACTTACTGATAGAGATAAAAGATGATACCCTTCAGTGTGGATTAAACCTGAATGTAAAGAGAATAGAATACTTCACAAATTTATCATCATGGTAGAAAAAAATTGAGGTTGCCAAGGGCTTAATGCTACTTCTATCAATAATCAACGTCCTTGGAAACAGCAGTCACGAAATCAAGATAGAGTACTGCACTAGGCAAATCTGCTGCAAAAGATCCCTTTCAAGTTCTAAAACCAAAAGATGTCACTGTATGGCCGGATCAATACCAGGCTGGCTTCTAGCAGCAAGTGACCTTGAGTCTTCCCAGTCTGTGCGGAGCTGACCAGAGCTAATTGAAATAACTAGCAGCAAGTGGCCTTGAATCTCCCACACACCTGCGCAGCTGACCAGAGCTGGCTAATGGCCCGCTTTGTTCTTGACCTGCCGCTCTGCACCTGGCACCACCAGGGCCCAGTTGGCTCAGTGCCCACTTTGCTCTCGACCCTCCACTCTGCACCCAGCACGGGCCGTTTGGCTCAGTGGCCGCTTTGTTGTGGCCCACCGCACTGCATCAGGCACGAATACACCCGGAACCATGAAGACACCTTACATTCCAGAAACCCGGACATACCTGTCCACATAAGCAGCAGCCCTGTAGCCTGCAGCTCGACTCCCCAAGCCCGGACGTTGTGGACCATGGGACTTCGCCCAGGCTGGGTTTTTCTCCCCAATAAAGCCTGTTTGTTCTAATTCGACTGATTTGGTCTCTGGCGCCTCTCGACTACCTTACAGTAACTTTATTCACCAAAGTCTACATGACCCAATCCACGACCTTTAAAATTGCCTCATATGCATGCAGGATAATGAAAAAGACAAAAAAGAACTGCTGCACTCAAATTACGGTGCTAGTAAAAAAACACCACAGA